TTTTTAAGAATCCCCTGAATATTTTTTAAACGGGATCAATATTATAGGCTTAAGAAAAATTGTTTTAGCTAACAAAAGGATATAAATAGGTGCTTTTACGAGAAAACGCTTGATTATTTCTGCAACAAAATTCAACGTGTTAAGCATTTTGTTGATGAAATTTTATTGATTATGTTATTTTTTCTGGAAATTGGTTATTTTAGATGAAAACTTTTATTTCAAAATAATTGACGAAACGTAAAAAATCTAAAAAATTGATGATATTGACAAATTTTTTCCCCGTCAAATAGAGGGATTTAGGTTCTTGTAAATCTTCAATTTTAAAATATTTTTCTTCTTAAATCATATGAAAAATTCAAGATTTCAGAGAATTAATTAAACTATAGAAATCTCCATAAATTTGAAGAACTCTAAATTAAACTATTTTTGGTTGAGGTCGATCTTTGTTTGAATCAACTCAATTGAGCAGATTTACCTAAGCCATCCTTTGAGAATATAAACGCATTTAAAGCTTCGCATTCATCAAACGCTTACTCTCACAATTCACTTTCCGGAACTATTTTATTATTTTAAAAATTGATGGCCAAAAATTGTCTTTGTCTGTTCGTCGTCAGCCGGCCGCAAAACTGTGCAGAGAAACTCCTTCATTATTTTGGGTGCGACCAGAGTTATTGAGGAATCTTAATTGCGCAACCAGTTTGCATACAATTAATTAAATAAGCGGATAATTCGCCGCTACAGCCGCTCGACGCGCACAATTTTACAGCCAGACACATTCCTTCTGCTCGACTCGCTTCGCCCGAATGGGACCTGCTTTTAACTATTTCGTTTCGCCCATTAATTAAATCTGCGAGCAGCTGCCCTTTTTGCAGTTTGATTTAAAGTTCGCACTGACGCGTGTGGAATAATAGAGAAGACGAAATTCCTTCCAAGAAAATGGAACGCGTGACTAACAATTACGCACCCAAAGGACCAATCTCGGAACAGATTTTTCACTGAATTTCTCATTTGCAAAATTTTTAATCTTTTTTTTTGTTTAATATTTTTTTAACAGATTATTAAAAGTTAACAATTTATATAAAATTATATTTAAATTAAATTTCAATTGCAACTTTTTATTTTATTTTTTTGCTTAAATAGTTTAGATAGGTGAAAAACGTTTGTGTTTTGTTTTTGCAACAACGCATGTTTCTTTATTATCAATATTATCTTTAGTTTGAAATAATTCTTCATTAAATAAATAGAAATCAACTCGTAGAGCTTAAAATAAAAACTATCAAATTTGAAAATTGTGCTGGAGGGATTTTTTGCTATCATCAAATTTTTTCCTAAAAAAAATTGATTTTTAAAATTATTCATTTTGTTTTGAATCCACATTTTTACAGATGCAGCTGACTTTCTCGAGTCCAAGAAACACGAAAGATATTCAAACTAGCGGAGGATGTTGACGAGTATATTAGATATTATTACAGAGAGGGTTGGCATTGTCGTATAGTAAATGCGTTTACAAACAAATTATGTTTTACAAGTAATTTGCTCTCATTTCAATCCGCCAAGTTCAGATGTGCTGATATTTAAACTTTTAGATTTTTAAAATAACTTATAAGGATCTGATTTATAACAACTCTATATATCCCCTTGTTATTGGAATTCCGGCGTCGAAAATCGTACCACGGACGTCCTTTCGGCATCTCGTCGCAATAAGAAGATTAATTTCCTCCCCGTTCTTCTTGAGCGATTCAAACTTGAAGAGCGATCGCGAATTGCGAAACAAAAGCCCCGGTCGCACGAGGGGAGGAAACGTCGGCTCTAATCACTCGCAGGTGAATCGCTCTCGGCGCGTGATGAATGGAGTTTTAATCCCGCACTCTCGACGCGATTATTTGCCTATAACTGCGGCGGTGATTGGGAATTAGCGTGTTTGCTGGTCCCTTCAACTCTGCCTGCAGCCTGCTGATAAAGAGACGAGTGTGTGTGAGAGAGAAGGCACGGCCTCCGATTGTCGAAGGCCGTCCTCAAAAGGCGCTGATATGGATTGATTTTAATAGGCCTGCAAGGGTTAATAAAAATATCTAAAATATCCATTTATTTCTAGAGCGTAATAATTTTTTGTTTGTTTGGGTTTCAAATAGAAAAATTATTCATTTAAAATTAATACATTATGCTAATAAGCCTCAAAATTAGGTCGAACATCAAAAGAGTAAAATAGTATTACAATCTGTTATTTTCTTTCCATTAAACATTTGAGTTGTGTTTGTATTATGAGATGCTGATTATTGCTTTGATCGTCTAACTAACAAGTTGCATACGCTGAACATAGGCCAATGTGATGATGATTGATGATTTATTTAGGTTTGAACTATAATTTGCTTTAATTATTCTCAAAACTTTAATTTCAAAAACTAGCATTTTTGTTTAACAATTTTCTTTCATTTTCTGTAAATAAAATCTGTCCCATCAAAATAATTAAACATTTACAGCTCAACTTTCTATCATAAACTGAGTTTGCAAAATAAAATTGTAGGTTAGTTTGACCTTAAAATTTACATGGGAACCTTTTGTACCTAAAAAGTGACAAATTTACTTATGGGAATTCCATTTTACGTATGGAGGGCGTGCATTGTCGCAATTTGTAGCACAATTTATTGAAAAAAAAAAGTTCGTGATATGAAGATTTAAATAAATAAGTATTTGTTTTATATGAAAACTAGCTTGTATAGTACTGTATATTTATTTTTTTACAATTTCAAAAGGTTTTCATTTTATTTTTTAATATAATTTTCAAGTTATAACCCTATAATTAATAAATATTTATTATTATTTATTTTATTTTGGAATTTTGTATACTTGAAATGTAAACAAAAAGGTATCACAAAACTTTTGATTATTTTTTTTCATTATATACTTGTAATCCCAAAACGTAATATTTGACAGTAAATAAATGAAAATTTTCTGCAATGCGCGTGTTTATTTCGATCGTTAATTTTTTTCTCAACAAATATTATTGAATCAAAAAAAATATTAATCCAATTCAAAAATAATTCAATATGAAATCTTATTTAATAAAAATGCTCATTGATTTCTTGCGTTTTAACAAATTAATCTGTAACATCAAACTGTCCTTAATCTTCAAAATATTGGAATTTGGCAGATCAATAAGTAATATGCTTCATATTTGAGAAACTTGAGGAAACAAAGCCTCCGTCTTGAAATGAGAAATCCGCTTTCCGTCGTCGGCAGAGTGCAAATGATCGCAATGTGTCGCACTCTCTTTGGCTTTAAAGCCGACTTGCACCTCTCGAGGCTTCTTTTGTCGACGGATTTTGACGAGAGATGCAGCTATTTTGAATTTCAAAGGCGTCGCGTTTGATATCGGTGGCGGCGGCGGCGGTTGTATCTGAAAATGACACACACTCACACGCCAGTGCTGATGGCATGTGGCGTGCATTGATTTTTTATTATTTGCATCGCGTATCACACGAAACTCGCCGGCCGCCGCAAAATTTCCAGCGCCAACCGCTGCACCAGATGTTGCATTAATGTGTCCGACAATCAGGCCCGGCACCTTTTTTCCCCGCGCTGGTTTTGCTCCGATATATATGTCCGTATGTGTGAGCGCCCGATCGATTGGCCAAAAATTAATTCGCGCGGACGCTCCATCGAACGTTCGAGGTGGACCAAAATTGTTTTTCAGCACGCCTCAATAGCCTGATTTTCCGAGTGAAAAATTGTCGGTGGTTTTTTATGAGGTCCCTCCCTCCTGGCAAAATCAAAGAGATTGTGTAGGATTTAATACTTGATTTGGTGACTTTTAAATAGAAAAATATAATAAATTTAAATTAATATGAATTTTATATAATTTTTCTTTTAAAATTAAAGAAGTTCCACAATTAAAACCATGAACAAGTGATAAAATAATAATATGCGTAATGAAAATGTTGAAAAATGCAACACAAAAAGTATGAAAAAATGTTTAAATTCTATAGTAAAACAATTCAGAAAGAAATCTTCCGCAAGCTCAAATAAGGGCACAGGCCGGTAATATGCTTTCTCTTGGCCTGACAAAAAAAATTAAAAATGTACTAAATAAAGCAAATAAACGTTATTTATAATAATGATAACTAAAATAATATAAATTAGGAGACAAATGAGGAATTATTCAATTTATAAACAAATTATAAAAAAAAATATCTCCTTCAGGGCCCCTTTCTATTCTAAAATTATGATTGCTTGTGACTTCATTCAAGAATTACATTTACATTCACAATGAATTAATTAATGAAATTTGAAAAGCATAAAATCCAATAAAATCGCTGTATTAAAAAAGGTGCTAAAGTTTTTAATTTTTTTATGTTCGGTTTCAAGGTTTTTCATTTATAAATTTATATTTTTAATTTAAGTAAAATTCCATGCTAAAAAAATTTAATACAATGCTTATTTAAATCCAAACTGGCAAAAATTTCGTTTACATTTTATCGTATTTTGCTAAATGGAAAGAAAAATATATACCAAGTGAGATAAATCTCGGCAAGTGCATTGGCCAACAACACTGCTTTGTCATAAACAAGGTTGTACTCTTTTGTCGAAGCACCCAGCATCTTGTGCAGTTTGTATTTAATCGCCCTGGTGTTGTCAGACGCAATGTAGCAAAGAGCACATTTTTCCACGCGCCGGGATTTTATTATTATTTCCAGACGGGCAGGAAAGCATGGCCGCCTCTCTTTATTTCTTGTTAAGGAGCGATCGCTTGACTGGCCGCTGGCCAATATCTGCGAGCGCAGCTGGCTGGCGGCGAACGAAACACACACTCCGGACAAATTATCGGATGGGTTTAAAAAGAAAGGGTTGAGTCGAGCCATTTGTTGCACTGCCATAATCGCGCGCGCTACATAAATTCAGCGGCTTTTCATTATTTTCCCCGGGTCAAGGCTTGATTTATATTTAATAAAAAAAAAAGGGAAGCCAGCGCTGGTTAAGAGAAATTGAATCGAATTACTCACCTTTGACTAGCGGCATCAGGGACAGGCAAAACACAAGAAGAATCCGACTTCTAGTATGAGGCGGCATTTTTGCTGCTGGCGATCACATCTGCAATCAGACAAAAATAAAATAAAATAAAAGGTATTTTTAAATTCAAAGAGAGTTCTGTCAAAAACAGTTTAAGATTTTGTGACAGTCGGACTTGCCAAGATCATAAATTATTAGATTTTATTTTATATTTATCAATGAAATTATCAACATCATGTGTAAGACTGCTTCAGTTCTATTTCTAATTCTAACCAATAAATTGAGTGATGATGATGATAACCACAAATATTTCCATATATATTTTTTTTTAACTGAAATTTATACATAGAATAATGTAAATAAATTATAAATCGAAAGTTGAAAATTTTGTAGTAGAATTATTTTAAGAAAAATTAACTAAATAATAATGATTTAAATAAAAATAAAAATAAAAATTTAAAAAAAGTGATAAAATTAAAATTTTTGTTCAATAAAAATAGTAGTAAACGTTTTTAAACTAATTTAATTTTATATTATTATATGTATTGGCTACTTATGAAAGTACTAATTTATCAATGATCCGATCTATGATTCCAAATTAATTTTAATTTTAAAACGGAAAATCGCATTAAATTCACAAGTTAAAAAATATTTTCGTTTTGCTGAAAGTCTCGTCAGTCGCTTTGATAAAAACAGTTAATTTTTTACATATCATTGAATTGTTAACTTAAAACAATATTGTAAAAAGTCACAAATATTAATTAAAATTATTGCATGACAATTTCATTTTTCCCTTGAGAACGTCTAAAAAGTCTTTCATTTGGTCTGTTTCAATTGAAAATTAAAGAATTAGTGATTTTAGCTCCTTGCCCATTGTCGTAAAAATCACCTTCTTCATGCAGAAAATATGCTTCCGTAACAGTCTCACAATGAGCTGGTCTGACTCATAACATAATCAATTAGATCAAAGATAAATTGCAGGAGTCGTATTATAAAAAAAAAAATCAATCATAATTATTAAAGTTTTTGCATCAGCTTGCAGTATTTTTCCTATTTTAGATAACCAAATTTTTCAGAAATATATTAATTAAACTTTTTCTAAATTTTTTGACCCTTAAATGTCAGATAATTAAGTTGAGTTAAGCCCGATCGCTTCATTTCCTTGATCATCTCCTCGAGTGTCAACTTCTTCAAAAAAATATTATTTTATTTTTCATTTTTAACATATTTTTAAGAAATTCATCAAAACAGTAATGAGTAAAAATCTATAAATTCAAAGCTGATCATCTGTTAACGTAATTTCTAACTTTTGGGGTTGAAAATTAATTAAAATTTCCAATATATGCCAGAGGTGTTGGTACCCCTTTGAAAGATATTGACACTTTGTCGGATGCACCTGACCATAAATGCAATTAAAAGCGGTGGTCTGACGCAGTGCGGGGGTCGGGAAGGGTGCGAATTTTGAAAAGTGGTGGTGGCTCGCGGCGGTGCAGAAACGGCAATGCATCTTGTTTGTCTATTATTTGTCACTGGGTGCAATATTGAATGGAGAGCGGCGGAGAAAAGATGAAGTGGACGCGCGGCGCTTTGGTGTTTACAGGCGGATCCTCCATCACTGTCAGGAGATGCCAATTTGCGGCAGCTGTGCCCTTTCAATGAGAACGAAGAGCCGCCCCAGCGACAAGTTGCACCCCTAACTCCAGCGGCACCACCATTTCTCCTTTGCCTGCCAAAACAAAAACACTCCTCCGAGCAGCCCCCCAGTTTCATTATTTATCAGCTCAGCCGGCGCTCGCTGCGCCTCATGGTTGCTGCATGTGTAGCAAAATTAATGCGCTACTTTTGCCGCCCGCCCGCGCCAGACACACTTATATTTTCGTCTCTCGCTTCCCAACTTCTCAAAAGTTACGACTGTCTGCTTCATGAACACCAATGCAAAATCTGGCTCTCTTCAACGACTCTCCTCAAAATTTTCATTTTTATTTTTTAATACCTTGTTAAATAAAATGCAGTTTGCTTATTTAGTAATGGTTCTCATTTTTTTTTATTCCAAAGTAATTATTATTCATGTGACTTGTATAAATATCACTCCCAATGAGACATAATTAAATTAAAGAATCACCCTTTATCTGCAAAAAATGAACCTTGAGTGACATCAGTCTATGTTGCTAATTGCAAGTCACCAAATTTGGCTAAATAAACAAGTTATTGCATCTTGAAAATTAGATCGAGACACTCGTATCAAAAAAATGTTTTTGTCAGTTAAGGTCGATGAACCCCTTTCTCAACCTGTGAGAAATTTCTTGTGCAATGTCAAATTTAGACATGATATTGTTTACTTCAATTTCAGGAGTAAAAATTAAAACTGGAGAGGTCCGTTCATTTAAAAAATAAAAAAGTAAAATATAAATATGTCTCTTTTTTGTAAGTTCAGGTGAAATAATGATAAATTTTAATTTTACTTGATGTGCCAGTTGCAAGTCTTTGAAAAACAACTAGACTAGATTGATAAAAAATTATATTTGAACTCAGTCCCATATGGTCTAGCGGTTAGGATTCCTGGCTTTCACCCAGGCGGCCCGGGTTCGACTCCCGGTATGGGAACTTTTAACGTCTTGGTTGTATTTTACATCGTTTTGATGGAACAAATATGGCTGGCCTTATAAAAATAAATCCCAATGTTGAGGTATAAAATTAATTGATTCTTGGTCATAATTTAATTTTATTTTCAATTAATGAGAGTGAACTTCAAAATTCACAGTTGATATTCTTGAAAACACTCCACTTTTTTAACAGGATTTAATTTTTTACCTCTTGAAAATATTGAAAAATTTCATCTAAAATAGAGAAAAAAAAATGGTTAAATGATTTTTGTCAACCAAGTTTTTTTTTTTAATTCATTCAGGTGAAAAAGTTGTGAAATGAGTGAATTTTATGCAAATAAACGATTATGTGGGAAATGTTTGAATTCAAAATTGTTAATTTTAGGTGTTTCTAAACCTAAAAATTTGACCTCTTAATGAATATTTAAGTTCTCAGTATATTTCCAACAAGTGGGTCACTTATTTTTGCCACATCTATATAGTTTTGTCTCAAGAAAAAAACGTTGTGTAATCCCCACTTTGTATCAATCAAAACTGCTCCCGCACAGTGGCATTTAATCTTCATGGGAACCGTCAAAGAGTCGTCCCTTTGTTTTGGATTGTGCACACAGACAGGTATGCCGAGAGAGCTGCTAATTGAATCGAAATTCGCAGCATTGAGTCGGCGAGAGTGGCTTTGTGGTTAGGCGGGCGGCGCCTAAGATGATTTAACTTGCCGTCTAGGAATTAATCTCGCGCGCCGCCTACATTAATACGGCCGTGCATTTCGCTGCTGCTGCTTCTGCTGATACACGCACACATGCAGTTGTTATACACATATGCCGCGAGTGCTAAATCATTGTCGCGAATACGAGCGCAAATCTGCAGGCTGGCAAACGAAACACCATAGTCTGTTCGCCGAGCGATAAGAATTAGAACGGCGGGCACTGCGATATTGTAATGACGTTACAAATTTATTCGCGTCATCGCGTCGTTTGACTTAACAGAGAGCCGCGGTTATGATTTTAAAGCTCGCGCCAAATACTCATTCATTTACATAATGGAATGAATATCACGACTATTGTACATCGTAAACTTGTATTAAGCTCAAGTTATAAAGCAAACATTATTACGTACATCAAAAGTCATTTGAATTATAAATTTAAAATCTGCGCATAAAACATAAACTTAGAATTTGGAACTAATAAAATAATCTTATTCACTAGATTCTAATTTTTTTTTTATCAATACATACAAATCAAAATAGAGATACATAATGGCGCTATTATCTTGACTTCGTTCTCCCAGTTAAAAAGATATCCGTGTGACAATTTCTGCGGAAAACCATATAAAAATTTTTCAATGGACAATTGCAACCTAGGAAATTAATACTAAATTTTAATTCTTGGAAGTACTTCATACGGAAAGTGGCTTTGATGTGAATTTCAAAGCCAGAATACTTAAGTTGCAGCCTATTAGCATTAAAATTGTATGGTGAATATAGTGAATATTAAAATTTCAAAGATTAAAATAGACCAACTGTAAGCCTCAATTTGATGAATTTTAAACTATCTGAGGTTGATAATACAATAGAAATTAGAGCTAGAAACTTCCTCTCAGCTTATGCATGGTTTAAAAATGAATGTCTGCTATTGAAGAATTTTAAATTGCTGGAAATGAAAGGTTCCATAGTCAATCCAATCGGTCGTTTTTTTTTTTAATAATTAAAATTATATCAAATTTTGCTATGTTTTTTTATTCAAAATTATTATTTATGAAAAATTATTTTGAAACAAAAGTTTTAAAAAAGTTTTTGAAAATGTATTTAATCTATTTTTACAATAAATAAACGTTTATTTTTAAAATGGAAATTTTGAGCGAATTAAAATAAAAGACTAAAAAATGAGTTACAACGATCAAATTATTGGCAAATTAAAATAAGTTGCATAGCGGTATAAATGCACCCCCACGATGCAACACGTTTCTGCAGCTGGTGTGTTCGAATCAAAATTCTAAACGCGCACCCGTGCCACTTATTCGAATTCCCAAAATGAAACTCTGAATATCTACGCAAAACGCTTTTCCCGAGCCACACTTGTAACAAAAACAAGCGGCGGACGTGCGAATTGCATTCCACTGAGAATCAGTTTACGCGTCCCTTGCCGAGACACGACTGTCAGGCCCCTGGAGAACGTTCACAGGCCTATAAAACCTCCACTCTCACCAGCATGCATTACCCACCATGCAAATCAGGAGAAATTCGAAAAAAAAAGTAACGTGACCTTTCCGGGGGTTGTTTTCGGACGTGTCTAATTCTTCTCTCTCTCCCTCCCTTGGGGGGCCCGTCTGTGTTTAACAAGGAAAAATTACTTTTGCTTTTTCCACCCCTGGCTGGTGAAATTCCTCCACAAATCCGAGTGTTATTATTGAATAAAGAGGAGGAAGAAGGGAAGAAGAAGGTCTCCCTAAAACCATCGTCTGGCCGTTTTCACAAAAGGT